CCTCCCCCAGCTCCCCCTGGCTCCCCGGCCCACCCCACCGGCTCCCTCCAGCTCCCCACCCCCGGCTCCCCTCCTCCTCTTGAATTGGACCCCACATCCTGCAAGCTGACAGTGAAGGCAGCCAGGGCAGGAGCCACCCTGAAAAGCAGGATCAGCTGTCTGGTCCTGGCCCTTGGTTCCAATAGCCAGATGTGCAAAAGCCAGTCCAAGGATGGACTTCTGGCCTCTCTGAGTCACTGCTGACTCGGGAGCCGCACCAGAAGAGGCTGTGTTCCTCCCTCCTGCCTTTCTCCCTGGAGCAGGGCGTGGCCGTTCCCATCTGCCCACTACCTGCCTGAGCTTTCTCTTTCTCAACGCTGGGGGACAGACTGAGGGCCAGAACACTAAACACGGGCTCTACACTGAGCTGTACCCTGGCCCCACCTTCCCATAACTGAAGTCAGTCTATGAAATCTCAGCATTGGGAGGCTGAGGCAGGAGACTACAAAGTTGACGCCAGGCTGGGCTACTCAGTGAGCTCAAATTCACCTTGGACTACACAGTGAGACCCTGTCTTAAACAAAACAATCTGGGCACGGCAGCACATGCCTATAATCCTGACACTTGGGAGGCTGAGACAGGAGGATCCCAAATTTAGGGCTAGCCTAAGCAATTTATAGAGACCACACCTTAAATGTTAAAAAATAATAATAGCTGAAAAAAAATAATAATAGCTGAAAAAAATAATAATAGCTGGAATGTAATGTGTACTCCTTGGGTTCAGTTTCTAGCACCAGAAAAAAAGGGGGGAAAAGAAAAGAAAAGACAAAGAAAAACAGGGAGAGAAAAAGGCAAGAAATAAAGAGGTCCTCTTTTTGGCTTTCAGTGGTACCTTGTCATGGGGCAAAGTGGCATTCTCGGGGTGTCCATGACAGCAGCATTTGGGATTCTTAGTAAAAGCACAGCTCCCTACCCTCTCTTCCGGAAAGTAAAACCCGAGCCATGAGTGTGCCACGAACTCCAGCTGCAGTGTTTTCAGATGCACTCTGAGCCACCTGGCCTGAGCTCTGTCCCCATTACCTCCCGGCGACGGGCCCGGCTCGTCACGGCTTCCTGTCTAACCTGGCCCTTACGGCTCAGTTTCAGCCCCGGACACACACACAGAGTCAGATTCTCTGGCCCTTGTGCCCTCCGCTAGAATCAGGCCACCGTGCTCCTGGCGTGGCTATCCAGTGACACACTTGGAAGCAGAAGGGGACTTTCTCTGGCTGGGCTGGTGACGCCACTGGCTTGCACAGTCTCTCTGCAGCTGCAGAGTTAGGAGCCAGGCGTGAGTCCATGCCTGAGGCCACCTAGATGGGACACCCACTCCAAGGACTCAGGAAGCTTGGCCTTCCAAGTACTCTTCTTTTGTTTGCTTGTTTTTTCAATCTTGTAAATGTAGGGGATCCCTTAGCCAAATCCTTTACAATAGGAAAATCACACTTCGAAGCCCAGAGCGGTTGGGCAGTATCCCTCTGAATTTCCCAGGCCCCAGCCTCAGCAGAAGGATGAAGGGTGAGCTTTGTGTGCTCTGAGCGGGTCAGGTTTCACTCAGCAGTGTGCCCAGGCAGTGGAGGAGACATCGGAACGCAAATCTAGAAACTACTGAGAAGGGAACTCTTGCTGAACAGGAGGCACTCCTGGCCCGGGTAGGGCTCTGGTCTACCGCTTTTGTTTTGTAGTTAGCACAGTTGAATTAGATAGGACACACCTGTTATCTCAGTATTGTGAGGCTGAGGCAGGAGGATCTCAAATTTGAGGCCAGCCTAGGCTACACAGGAAACCCTGTCTCAAAAGCTGAGGTCACACTGGACTAGGGTGAGCCCGAAGTCTATTCACTGTGTCCTCATAGGATGGCCATGTGAAGACCCAGAGACAGGTGACAAAAGACAGGGATTAGAGAGGGGTGGCCATCAAGTAAGGAAAGCTAAGGGTGACTAGCAGCCAGCAGAGCAAGGAGGACACAGGAATGAGACTCCCCAGAGCACCTGGGCCCCGGCAACCCCTTGGTGCCAGACTTCTCCATTCCCAATGACAGGCAGAGTAAGTGCCACCTGATTTAAGCTTCCCAATGTGTGGCAGTTTGCCCCACAGCTCCAGAACACCAACACTCTGCCCAGTCCGAGCCAGACTCAGGGGAGCCAGACTCGGGGGAGTCAGTTCCACAAAACTGTTTACACAACAAAGTGACAACACAAGTTGGAGCCTGCCGGCCTGTGTCCACAGTCCCTGCAGCCTGGGAGGCTGAGGCAGGAAGATCACACATGTAAGCCCAGGCTGGGCAACTTCCCACCTTTAGCAGGAGCCTGTCTCAAGACTAAAGAATAAATTACAAAATAAAAAATAAAAAAATAAAATGGGCTGGGGTGTAGCTCAGTGTGAAGGACTAGACAAATTCTTCCACCTGCCTAGCCACAGCCATGGGATTGCGCAGAACTCACTGCTGGAGCCTCCAGGGACCCTGGCCTTGTGCTAAGGTGACAAACACATCATTTGTCCCATCCTGCCACCACCAAAGAACAGGAGCTGCCCGGGCACCTCTGCGAGCCCAGGAAGCCTGGCCTGGCTCCTCTTCCAAACCTGAGTGGACAGTATACTTCAGAAAGCAGCTCACAGGGATGCACTGGTGTGCTGCGGCCCCCAGGGTTTCCTCATTGTGGAGGGTTATCTGTATTTAGGTACAGGAAACCTAAGGGGGAAAGGGCCTCGGAGGACACCACAGGCTTCAGTTAGGGGAAGGAGCCCCAGGTCCATGGGCTGCAGTGGATACCACCAGTGAAGACCACCCTTTCTTCCTTCCTTTCCGTTCCCTTTCTTTCTTTCCTTCCTTCTTCTTCCTTCCTTCCTTCCTTCCTTTCTTTAAGACAGGGTCTTGCTACATGGTCCATCCTGGCCCTGAACTTCCTACATTGCTCAGGCTGGCCTCAAACTCATAGCAATCCTCCTGCCTCAGCCTCCTGAGAACTGAGGTGGCATCACAAGTGTTTGCCACCATACTCAGCTTTCTTCAGCTTTTCTTTTTAAGAGACAAGATCTTCCTGAATGGCTAATTTGTCCAGATTGAGCTCAAACCTGCAATCCTGTTTCAGTCTCCCCAAATTCCAGCTTATACAAGGCATGCAGAGCCGGAAGGACAGAGACCCAGAATGCAGGGTCTAGAAGTCCATCTTGGATGCCTGCACCCCTCCTTTCAGGGATGGGGTACCAAGCCAGTGCACACAAGGAATTTGCCTGGCCAAAGGAACTGGCTTGTAGCCAAGCCGAAACCATGGTAGTCACACCCCATAAAAGTGGGCACAGCGAGGCCCTTGCTGGGGTTGCTCTGTCCTCCTGAACTTGAGGAAACTGATGTATAGATCCAGCCACACCTGAAGCCAGTGCTGGCCTTTTACTTTCAGGAGCTAAATAATTCTTTTGTTTAAGCCAAGGGGGGGGGGGGGTGGAGACACAAGGCTCAGTAGAATAAGTGCTTCCCTGGCAAGCGCAAGGACCTTAGTTCAATCCCTGGTTCCGCCAAAAACAAAGACTTATCTAAGCCAATTGGGGTTGCAAGCGACAGAAGTTCGGACCCGGAATTCTGATGGCAGGAAGCGGGTCACACACTGCTGTTCCCAGCCAGATGTTTCCTCATAGATGCCACCCAAGGCAGCCAACTAACAAGCTTGCCCTTCCAAAAGGAGCATTTTTACAAGTGTGTGTGGGGTGGTGCAAGTCTGAAATCTCACAGCTCTGGGAAGCTGAAGCAGGACGATGGCAAGTTCGGGCCCAATCTGAGCAATTTAGCAAAACTGTGTCTCAAAAATAAATAAATAAATAAATAAATAAATAAAAATTTAAAAAATCAAAATGATGTAGTTCTGAGTTCAGTACACACGTGTGCATGCACGTTTTACAGGAAACACGGAGGCAGCGGGGTGACCACACAGCCATCTGAAGATCGGGGCCCCCAAGATGCCCTCTCTGAGTCTAGCTGGGGGGGTGTTGGGGAGGGGGACAGGGACATGGGAAGAATGGGGTCTTCCCTGAAACGCACAGCGTGTGGGACTCGCAGGCTCTGACAAACCGCCGCCTCACCGACAGCTTCCCACACCACCCGACTGCATCCATCCAAGCCAGACCCAGGAACAGTGCCCAAAGACAGGGGTGGAAATCAGGAGCCAGGAGGCAGGGGCTTAAGTGTTCTGCGCGCTCCACCCAGGGGCCTCTAAATAGAACCTTGCATTCCACGCGGTTTTAGACGCCCAAGCCTGACCTGGCCAAGGCCTCTGCACCCCCGGGCCGTTTTTTCTGGTCTCGACTCTGTTCTGGAAATAGCTCGATTGGAACCTCACGATGTGCAAAATTCTTCTCTGTCTTAAAGGGTAGGGGACCACCGTCAGGGCGGTCCCAGGCCACCCAGCGCCCAGCAGGTACCCCCTCGCCCTTCCGCCTCCTGCGCAGCTGCTCTTTTCAGGTCTGGCTGCCCAGCAGCCCCCAGGTTCCTGGGAGGTCAAGGGTGCTGGCCCTCGGGCCTCGGGTGCGACAGTCAGAGCGCGACTCAGGGCGCCTGGTCAAGACTTGCAGTCCCCTTTTGTTTTAAAAGATAAAAGGATGAGAAGGGCTGAGTTCTCGGGGAACGGAGTTGGGGCTGGCAGGAGAGGCAGGCGGTTCCCTTTCCTAGAGTTTACTCGCGGAGCGGATCTACCGGGAACAGATGGAGGTGGGGACAAGGACCCTCCAGGGGACCCTGGAACTCGAGCTCAGCGGCCTTAGGGCTCGGTGTGGGAACTCCTGCTGCGGGGTCCCAGGCCTGCGAAGTCCCGTCCACCTACATTACCCGCATCTACACACGCGCGCGCTGGCATAGACGCGGTAGCGCAGGACTCAGCCACGTCGAGCCAATTCGAATGCACGCGGGGAGCCCTGCACCCCTAGCGCCCCGTCCCACTACGTGGGGCCCGGACGCGGGACTCGGGGACCCTGGGACATGGGTCGCTTACCTCCGGAACACACTCTCCAAGTCCTTGAGGCGGCGGCGGCTGAGCTCCGGGAACTCCGTGTAGGGGTTGAAGACCCGGCAGCGTCTGGGCGGCGCCGCGCCCTCCGCGATGTGCAGGCGGCGGCTCAGCTGCGCGCTCAGCTCGGCGTCGGCGCCGGTCGAGGGCGCGGGGTCCGGGGCGGCGCGGGGCTCCTCCGTGTCCTCGAGCCGCAGGCGGTGCTGCAGCTTGCGCGTCAGCTCCTCGCCGGCCATGCTGCGTCGGGTTCCAGCGCCGGCAGTGCTCTGCTCCGGGTTCTGCTCGCTGGGACCTGGGGCGGGGACCTCGGGGCGGAACCTCTGGGCGGGGACCGGGGGGCGGGGACGCGGGGCGCGCTGCCTTCTCCCTGGCTGGGGACGCAGGTGCTGGCGTCCGTCCCCCGGGAACCTCAGCAGACAGTTTCAAGCCAAGTGGAGCCTTCCTCCCTCGCCTCGAAGAAGCGTCCCGAGCGAGGGGATTGCAGCTTGGGGCGGTGGTTGGGGAGCGGGAGCCCCGGGTGACACGCGCTCCAATCCCCCTCTCCCCCCAGGGTCCAGGAATAGGAGACACGCGTAAGCATGCGAAACTGGATATTGTTGCCAACATTCATTGAAACCCGGGAGCAGGGAGCGCACACCTGTAATCCCAACGGAGGCTGAGGCAGGAAGATAACCGTGAATTGGACCCAGGCTGGACTACATAAGTGAGTTCAAAGTCAGCCTGCACTACATGGTGAGACCCTGCCTAAAAAAAAAAGAAAGAAAAGAAAAGAAAAAAGAAAAAGCAAACAGTGTCTGAAATGTTTCAAAAACCGTCTAATAATACGAAACACAAATAAAGGACAGAAAACGCTCCTTATTCCTCCATAAGGTCAGAGAGCCAGATCCGCACAGCTTCAAGCTCCCTGCTTTTCCCCTCCCTCCCTGTGAAACCCACAAGGAGAGAAATCAACATTTCCAACAAGAGGATGAGGGCCACCCACGCCCACGACAAGGTCCCTGAGAAACGCGAGGACGCAGAGGTTGCGGCACCCTTCATCCAGCAAACACCACTTAGCATGCACAGCACCCAAGAGGCCCTGCAGTTCCTCCCCAGGGCTCCCAAATGTACCTCTTTAGAAAGTTCTTAGGGAAAATAAGTTTTTTAAAAAATACAGCTGGGGAGATGGCTCAGTGGAATAAGTGCTTCCCTGGCAAGTGCAAGGGTCCTAGTTCTAATCCCCAGTTCCGCCAAAAAATAATAAAATAAAAATAAAAAATACAGAGGAGCAGCGACTAAGCGCCTGCTTAGGCAAGCTCAGGGACCAGAGTTCAATCCCCAACACCACATGCTGTGCCCCCCTCACCCTTTCCCTTCACCCCCTCCCGCACCAAGACTGGGTGTGGTGGTGCATGCCTGGAATCCCAATGGCTGAAAATGGGAGGATCACTAGGATTCTGAGCTGCGTAGTGAGACCCTGTATGGAAAAAAACAAAGCGCCTGCCTGGCAAGTGCGAGGACCTGAGTTTGATGCCTGGCACCAAGTAAGATGACAAAACACAGTAAGCCTGGCAGGGTGGTACACATCTGTGATTCCAGCACTCTGGGAGGCTGAGGCAGGAGGATAACAAATTTCAGCCAAGCCCTAATAATTTAGTGAGAAATCGAGACCCAGTCTCAAAAAAGAAAGGAGGGGGGATTTACCTGAGCGTGAAGGCCCCAGATCCAATCCCCAGATCCAATCCTCAACAGGTGGGGACTGTTTACCATCTCCACTGAATAACTTGACTTGGTTGAGTAAAAACTGGTTTTATGCATGAAATGAAAATTGATCAGCTTTGTATAAAACCATTGCCAGGAAAAAAAAAATCCATTACCAGGGCTGGCAGTGGTGGCATATGCCTGTAATCCCAGCTCCTGGAGGCTCAGGTAGGAGGAGCACCATATTTGAGGCTAGCCTGGGCTACAAAGTGAGCTCAAGGCCAGCTTGAACTGCACAGTGAGACCCTGTCACAAGAAAACAACAGAGGGCAGGGGAAGTGGCTCAGTAGGATAAGCGCTTGACTGGCAAATGCAAGGATCTGAGTTCAATCCCCGGTTCTGAAAAAAAAAAAAAAAAAAAAGTGGTTTTTTTTGTTGGCTGAACCGGGGATTGAACTCAGGCCCTTATGCTCACCAGGCAAGTGCTTATTCTACTGAGCCATCTCCCCGCCCCCCCTAAAATGTTTTTTAAATAGTAAAAAGAGGGCCAGGGAGAAAGCTCTGAAGCATAAATGCCTGCCTGGCAAGGGCAAGGGCTTGAGTTCGACCTCCAGCACCGAAATAATAATAATAATAATAATAATAATAATAATAATAATAATAATGCAAAAAGCTGGATGGCAACCCGGGTTCAATTCCCAGAGTGCAAAAAATAAACAAACAAGCACTCCTGCTGGCAGGAAGTACATCCAGGACGTCAGTGCCGGTGGCCCTGTGTCAGCCCAAGAGCTCCCTATGTCCCTGGCTCCTGGTGGGCCCCAGGGCGGTTCTGTGGCTGGGTAAGAAACCATCCCAAGTCCCTGGCTAGGTGCAGACACCAGGCTCCTCACCTCACTGTCCCTGGTGCTGCCACTGAGGGGCTACCCCCACTACGGCTCTGCCTGGGGTCCTAAATACAGACTTCTGAGTTCTGTGAGACTTAGTTACGGTAGAAACAGGAAGCACAGGGAAACCTCTCCTGTGCCTTTATGTAAAAATCTATTGTTCCTACCGGGGAGGCTGAGGCCGAAGGATTCTCAAGGTCAGCCTGGGCAACTTACTGAGACTCTTTCTCAGCATTTAAAAGAGCTGGGTGGGGCCGGGGAGATGGCTCAGTAGAATAAGCACTTGCCTGGCAAGCACAAGGGCCTGAGTTCAATCCCGGTTACACACACACACACACAAAAAGAGCTGGGTAGGTGCAGCTCAGCACTGGAAGTCTTCCCTAGCACAGGAGAAGATTTGGTGGGGTCTATCCATGAAAACAAAGAAGAAATAAAACCTATTGGTCTATCTTACATATCCGGGGCCCTTGAGCCAGGCACAGTTGGCTATCACTGTGCACAGGTCCTGGCGACGTTGCTCACTTCCGCAATGTTGTGATAAGCAGCTCAGTAAGAGTAACACCACAGGCCGGCAGGCAGGGCTGGGCCTCCAGGGAATCCCCCCTCCCCCCAAGATGAGAACAGGGCAGCTCTGTGGCCAGAGCTGCCTCCACTGAAAGCCAGGCTTCGAGACTGAAATCACCACAGCCAGATTCACATAGTCCCTAAAAGAGGGGCAGGAACTGGAGATTACGCTATCGCTGCATTGCCCTTTGGGGTTTCCCAGAGATAGACTTCATGGAGACAGACCTGTATCCCAGAGGTTGACCTCTCAGCCACAGGACTAAGACCAAAGTGAAGTCTAAGAGTCTATGACCACCAAGAGCAATGTCACCCACATGCCAGTGATACATGCCTAGCTCGACTTGCACCTTTGTTTGAGCCAGTTTCGCCCTGCAGCCAGGTTGGTACTGAATTTGCAGCTTCCTGAGTCCTGGGATTCCAGGTGTGCACCACCGCCCTGGCTTAGATTTATAATCTTATTGGTAGAGTATAGTAACACTCACCTCATGATTGTGTCTATAAAACATTCCCAAGGAGATGACCTCAGGGGGAGTGCACTCGGGACCTCTCCTGTCTCTCAGGAGCTATTCCCATTCCCCATCTCTAGACTCCAGTAAACAAAAATGCCAGGTGTGGTGGCGCACACCTATAATCCCAGCAGTTGGAAGGCTGAGGCAAGAGGATCTCTGTGAGTTGGAGGCTGGCCTGTGCTATGGAACAAGACCCTGTCTCAAAAAAGCTAAAAAAAAAAAAAAAAAAAGCTAAAAAAAAAAGAAAGTAAAAGTGGAGCAATGCCAAAGGAGTGCCTGATGAGCAGGCTGCAGCTTTAGGTTTAGCGGCTGAGGAAAGCATAGAGCTATACCTTGTGCAGGCACGAGTTCACTATGGTGAACGTGATTGCTGTGGATGTCTAAAATGTACCAGTAAAACAATTTCCTTCTAAAAAAATAAAGGAGGGCTGGCCAAATAGCTCAGCGAATTTAGGAGCCTGCAAGCAGGCGCAGGGGTCAGGGCTTTGATCCCGCAGCCTGCCATGCCGGCCCCACCCCCAGGGCCCACTGAGACAGCACTTGAGACTGGGCGTGGTGGTGTGTGCCTGTAATCCCAGCTCTCAGGAGGCTGTAAATAGGCGGATCACTATGAGTTGGATCTACGCAGTGAGACCCTGTTCACCCTGTAGACCCTTCCCTAAAAATACAAAAAATAAATAAATAACTTTTTAATAAAAGGCCAGAGGAGGGCTGGCAAGATAGCTCAGTGATCTAAAGTGCCTACTTAGGCAAGCATGCAGGGACCTGGGTTCGATCCCCAGCACCACATGCCATGCCAGCCCCGCCCACAGGGTGGGCTGAGCTGACCATAAAAAAAAGAAAGAAAGGAAACATTTAAAAATAAATAAATAAATAAATTTATATATATATTTTAAAAAAAAGGCCAGAGGAGGTAACACTTATGTAGTGATCAGCAGAAAGTGAGGGGCTGGCTAGTGAACTGTGAGCTTGGAATATAAATCATGCAGTCGTTGTGGGCGAGGAATGCCTCCCTTTGTTGCTGCCATGTCCCTCTTGTGTGCTGTAATTGGATTCTTTCTTTTTTAAGACAAAGTTTCCCCAGGTATTCAAGACTGGCCTTGAACTCAAAGCATCCTTCTATCTCAGCCTTCTGAGTGTTGGGGTCACATATGTGTGCCACCATCCCTGGTTTTAGTAGCCATATTTTAAAAAGTAAAAAGGGCTGAGGCAGCGCATTTACGTGGTGTGAGCAAGGGTCCCCAGTGCTGGCCCAGCATAGGAAGGAGGCCAGGGGCAAATGGTGAGCTTAGCGAGCTGTCAGCTCCAGCTTACCTCCTGGGGACTCCTGGGCCCTGGAACAGGGGCCACGTGAGGCGGGGAGCCCAGGGGGCCTGGCTGTCCTCCCACCAAGTCCTGACCCTACGCCTGCTCCCTGACACCTGCCCAGCCCCAGGTTCCTGCACACCAGTCTGGGGCCTGGTTCTGGGTCTGGAAGTGTCATGGGCACCTTCCCTGAGCAGAGGGTGACAGGTTCGGGCCCTAGTGTAAATTGCTAAAATCATTGTGGTGGTCATCTAACACGGCTGATTCCCTTAAACAAAGGCCTATGCTCCAAGACCACCTTCCCCTTCTTCTCCAACTCAGCCCAGGATGTAATTTACTTTCACC